ATATAGTGCGTATGTTGTCGTTGTACCTACGCGTTGTCGTATTTCACAGTTTTTTTTTTTTTTTGCTCAATACGAGAGTACATTGTAACCGAATTTTTCACAATGACCTTAAATTTTTTAATAATGGCCATTCACCATGATGCATAAATGGGCTACGTTGCTGGACAATCCATTGTTTAAAAGACGGCACACGCACAATACTATTTATTTGTCCACCTTATTTTTACCTTTACGTCTATTATGTGACGGAGAGGTCAACGAATTCCGATATAGGACATGATAAAACGATAAATTTTGCATGTATTGTTTTAATTACCAATGATTTATGCGCGTGACGCTTGATGTTACACTTGCCTACCACTATTGTTTTCGAAATGTCAATGGTCTGTGTTATTTTTTCCAAACGGCGGTACCGCAGTAGCCAGTGTAGGTTTATAATAATGATGGAAATAATATAACGACAGTGTTCATTATCGTACACGTAAATATGACATTATGATGATTCGAGTGATACGTATAATATAGTGTTATGTCTAATGATAATGATAACCATTTAAATAATATATAGCGACTTAAAACGGACTAAGCAATTGTAACGCGAATTTAAGTTAAATAAATCATTACGATTTGTAGTACTTGGATAAAAACCAAAAAGTTTGAGCTAATTCCGGTACCGACTCACAACGTGTTATCTAAATATAAGCCTGTAACGATTAATTAAAAAAAAAAAAAATGATTATCGTCCGACATTTGAAGAAAAGAACTTATTACAACATATGTATTATGTGCATCGTGCAATGAGAGTACACGCGCTTATTTCTGCGTCAGTGGGTCTTTTAGGGATCGGACGTATTAAACATGCATGAGGGTCTTCCAAGGAACTTATAAAGATGAAAGAATATTATTTTATTACTACCAAAGTAAATGGCAGGTTTTATTTTTACCTTCTTTTTTGTTGAATTCAATAGCATACCAAAGGAAATAAACTCCCTAAACAAACTTTTAATACTTTCCTATAAATTGCTACGACGTGTATTGTTTAATTTCATTTTTACGTCTGTATACGAGATATATTTAGTTGAATAAAAACCTTTTAATATTCTGGATAAGGTCTCGGTTCGTGTAACTTACTTTGTATASTTATTAAATATGATTTCAAACATGGCTTCTTATTTTTTTTATAATGTATTTCCCATTAGGAAAATGCTTTGAATAACAGTTAGTTATCATTCTTGCAAATAATTATGTTCTAGTAATATTGTACTACTTTGCTTTTTAATAATAATGTATGATGCAAAAGAATTACTATATAGGTACGACTGGTACGTTGTATCAAATTACAAGCCAATTAGGTACTTAAAACGCTTCAATATGTTTATTCTACGCAATTTTTGAACTAGAAATAGTTGTACGGATTCGTTCGTTCAATTAACCTTAAAGTATGACTGGTTTTCCAAGTACCTTATATGTTAAGTTTACTATATTTTTTAAAACTGCTTACTGATTTTTWATCGGTAAGCAGTTGTAAAATCAGTTTTAACTTTGAAAAGTTATCAGATGAAATTAAAAATATAGTTTTTCGTTSTCTCGGGGTTAATAAATAATGTTACATTTAAATATAAAAATATTAGGTTTGTATTCAGCATGCATCACTATTGTCACGATTTGTGATTAATAATCAACATATTGTTTTACATGTCGTTATGCGTTTGAGACATTGTCGTAGTGAGTGTATTTATAATATTGTATGACATGTGTAGACGCATAATGTACATATACCTATCCATACAGATGCGGTGTATATAMATTTAGGTAGGTTAGGTATACATAAAAAATACCTTTGGAATACATAATTTTGTTGTATAATAATTAAACTATGGTATTGAATGAATTCAAATAACACGTCGTGAATGTAAAATTTCTAACGTTTATGGGCAAAACGTGAGAATATCCGTTTTGTGTAGATTCGTTGATTTCCGTTGAAAATAAAGGAACAATGCAATTTGGAGAAAAAAAAGTAACTACCTAAATTTTAGAAAATAATAATAATAATAAGCATCTAATGATCGTAACGTTTCAACTTGAAATACACAATTATWATCCAATTGGTCGAGTAAATTAATATTTTTGTAAGACAAAAGTGTACCAATTAAAAACATATTGAGCTATTAAACGTTTTATGTGATTCGATTCGATTGGATCAACATTTGTGTGACGCTATGCACATCACCAATTGTTTAAAGACACGTTGTGCTGGATTTTTTTTTTTATAGCTAGAAACATATTTTTATACCTTTTAAGACATAAACAATGATCTATCTTCTAATACCTATTTGTTTTCTATCTTCACGAGTTTTATTGTTCTGGTGTTTTATCGTAGTATAATTTTTCCATATGCTACAACAATATTGTGCACTGATTGGAAAATACAATTTTTTAGGAGAAAACTTTTATCTTTAAACTAATATAAACTATTGTTCTACTGTTCTAGGCATTCTTAGAAGGCCATTTTATATAGATACCTTCTAAAGTGTTTTATCTATATTATTCCAGACATTTTGTATTCATAAACATTGTGTTGTTAAAAAGTTTGGAAAACTGGGTTTCCTCTATAATGATAAATTTAAAGAATGAAAATGAAACATTCATTGTGCAAGCCTAATGTAATCACTGAAAAATCATTCATCTGCCTAATGTTTTTTTGTGTAAAGAAAAATACAAGCAATGAGATACGCAGTTGGAATGTGTAATTGAATACAATATAGTATAAAACTATAAAAAACAACCATCGTATAAAATACTATTTTAGGGACGTTTCATTTTATAACCTGATGTTGTCGAACATAAACGATGTATAATMATTTTTTTTTGTATATAATAGCCAATAGGTGATTCTTAATTTCATTAAAATAAGTTTCTCCACAATAGTATTAGGTCAGACATTATTATGATACTACAAAAAGTATTATTTTAAACAAAACGCGTGTGTTTTGTGTTTTTAATTTTAAACATTAATTTATTTACTTATAAAACATAATATAATACTAMGTACTTGTGATGTATGCAATTATAATTTTGTTGTGATATAAAATTTTGTGGTGGCTTAAATTTAAAAACTTAATTATCTACATATTTTTGTTAAGTATATTATACGTAACTTTTAATTCCCCCCCCCACCAAAAAAAAAAAAATAAATATAAAATTGACAAGACTGTGATGATTGGAACGTTGTTAACATTTTATACGTCACAAATACTTTCATTAAATACTTTCTAAAATAATTTGAAATTCTCCGGGGTTTTCAATTTGCCTAATGGAATTTCACTTATTTTAAATGATACGTTTAGATGTAGAAAATGTTTTACATTAAAAACGTAAAAGTGATTTTCTTTGAGCCAATAAAGTTAAATTGTTAGTAAGAACAATATGAATAAGACACGATCGTATAACATTTTGCATCAAGGAGTTTTCGAAATGGCTAAAATCATTTAGTCTTACGGAATGAAATTATCTTATTTGATAATTTTCTTTATAATAAATTCACCCTTACACTCGTATAGATAAAGTTGAGAAGTATTACGTTTTCAAACTCCATATAAACAATAGGTAATGGAAATAAACTTTCTGTGGAAGAGTGAAATGAGTTATCAGTAGGTAATAATGTTACGAAATATATCTCTTGTTATATCTATGTCACGCGATACCAACATTACACTTTTTTGAACATTTGTATTAATAATAATACAAAGGTATATTCGTTTAAAACTCATGTTGCATATCTCTGTTAAGAATCGCAAAAGCGAAAAACAAATTTCGTACTCGTAGTAACAAATATAAAWTGATACTATAATTCCTCTATAATAAATTGTAYTTATATAATTAAATAAATTTCAGATTGTCTACCTAATAAAATTAATCTGAAATCGGATGTCCCTCATTTTGGTTTTTAATTTTCGCAAAACGATTTCAATTTAATTTAGACATCTTACATTATAATCATTTTAAAAAACTCAATATTTTTTGTCTTGTATATTAGTGCAAAAATGTATTTCTACATTTCGTTAAGATATATCCAATAAATATCTGTTATATTTATATTTTTAATAAAAATCTCATCAWTTTATCTGCTTTGGAAAGTAATAATAAAAATATTTATCAATGCACTTTTTGTTTTTTATATATTACCTAGTATATAAATAATAATATGTCACAATCTCAAAATTAAATAAGGTTGAAATGCTACTTGGTAATTTATTAATTAAGTGCAGTTATTTTAGTCTTTATATCCTTATGAAGTTCATTATAAAACGAAATTTAAATTCAGAAAGTTCACGAATATAAACATCCCTTCACCTGAGTTTATAAAATATCATTAATGAACTTTTTAAACTAAAATTATGTTTGGAATATATCATAAAAAAAAAAATTAAATCAAACTTCCTAGCACATTATTATATGAAGTAATTCCAGAACTATATAACAGAGGTTAAAATAAATATTATTTTAACAAAAAAGTAACAACCATCTACTAATTACGAACAAAATTATCTTATAAAAAGATAAAAATAATTTCGAGCTGGTATTATTAGTATATTATAAATAATCATATTTTCAGATAAATTATAATACAAATATTAAAAATATGTATATTATGTAGTATACCATATTTTGTAACAAATCAAAAAATTTAAAATATTTAAAATGGTAATAGTTTCGGTATAAATAATTGTAATATCAGGTACCGGGTTTATAATTATTTGAAATTTGAAATATAATGATATACCAATTTATCAGTGACGAAACTTGTGAAATATTTTCTCCAATATTGTCRCATTATACATACACAAGCAGTCAAGTAATAATCTATTTGCCAAGCATAGTTTAAAAAAATGTTAAACGTTGTTTAGTCGAACCGTAATAGTTTTATTGAAAACATGAACCAACCAAAAACTGTTGCGCACCCTAAGAAACGTTGTAAAATATTATTGCTTTGTTCGCAGATCAAATYGGTTCAATCGAGTGCCGTGACGGTCCGGTCTGGCGCCGTCAGAATCCTGAACAGCACACTGGATGATTTGGCTTCCGGCGCTGTGGTGGTGGACGACGCGCACGGCGGCATCCGGCTGTCCGGCAACCGTCTGGGCGCGATGGTTGGCGACAGCTTGTCCGCGATCCGGATGGACGGTGACGCGGCTGTATACGTGGGTGGTAACGCGTTCCGCACACTTCCGGCCGACATGCAGCTTCTCCGGTCCGAGCGGCCTGCCGAGTTTGTGGGCAACGACGTGGACAACGTGGATCTGGGTCCGTTCCTTTTTGGGCTGGGGGCCGCTGTCCGGGCGTCTGACAACCGGTTCACGTGTGACTGTGACCCACGTCACATCAGCGTGCTCAAGATTAACCAGGTGTTTCCGGGACTGTTGCAACCGGATGTCGACAGCCGGTTCGCCCGTTTGATGGCTGACAACTACTGTCGACAGCCTGCCAACACCACGCTTGCCGGTTACAGGGACTTGCTAGTCAGGGAGATTGTATGCGAGGGCGCCAACGTGACCGCGATCCAGCCGCCCCAATCACCGACGGCCCAGTCACCACCGTCCACAGACACCGCGGCCCCTAACCGTGGTAACACGTTCGCTACTGCCACTGCCATGTACGTGACCGCAGCCACTGTCGTCACTTCGTTGCTTCTGCGTAACCTCTTGGTCAGCTGAACGCTTAATGTGGTGTCCTAACTCGATTTTTAAGTTTTTTTTTTATTTTTTACATTCATTTTTTCATTTTTTTACGATAAAAAATACTATTATACCGTCGGAACGCCGAACTATTTTTAAAATTTAAATCATAATAATATTATTATAATGCTAATATAGGTATTATTACTTAAATCGGTTTCAATTTTATTTTGATTATTATATTCCTACTTTGAAACTGTATAGGTACAACCAAAGCGCTGTTCCTCCACATATAATAATAATATTAGCTATTAAATTTGTAAATATTATAATGTATTAATACAAACAGTATATTTTTATTTTATTTTTATTTTTTGAAACATTAAAAACATTTTGTAAATCTTTTCATTCGCCGTATTAATTGTTAGTAGACAACAATAATAATTTGATAATAATATTATTATTATAAACTGTTATTCGAGCAATGGTTTCATTCTGGTTCATACCCTGCATGTGTGTAGGTTGTGTTGCATAACTGTTTGCTCCTTGCTCTTCGCAATCGAAATTAACTTTAATATATTTGTCGATATAGTTTATTATTTTTACATTTTACTAGAAACCCTATGGTGATTATGATTCTGTTATGATTTTTTTTTTTCAATTATCGTTATTTTAATGTCTGACAGATGTAATAAAATTATTATATTTATTCATTTCATCGAAACGGGAGTAAAATTAAAATTAAAAAACATTCAAATAATTGGATGGGTATTATTATTATTATTATTAATAATAATTTCCAATTACSTAACGCAATGAAAACTGGAATGAACCTTAGAGTTCATTGAACATTGGTAAACAAGTCATTAAATATTTAATAGAATAACTAAAAATGATAATGTAGTATACAAATTTTAGTTGCGTTGTAATTTAAATCGTAGGTATACAATTATTACACTACACTGATGTAGTTTTAATTAATAAACTTTTTAAATGTTAATATTATAATGTAAATTAAATATAATTATTAAAACATATCTGTAGTTTTAGGTATTGTAAAATGAAAGCTTCTAAAATATAATATAATAATGTAATATTCAACATGACAAGCTTTTTATGGTCCATCATGAATTTGAAATAAAAATGTTTAAGGAGTTTTAGTTAGGCAATTCGAATGAATATTTTAGAAAACAAAAATACTATACAGTAGGTATAGGAAATATATTATTTTAAGCACATTTATGTTGTAATATAAATGTTTAACGTTTTGTAAGATCTCAAATATACCCCTGTATTTTTATATATATTCTTTATTAGTTACTTGTTGTTGCATAGTATGATAAAAAAAGTAATTTCTATGAACTATTGAATATCATTCTTTAAACTAAAATATAATTTCATAGAACAGCTGAATTTGAATATTTGGCCTGGCTTAATCTGAATAATATATGATATATAACATTTTTTATTTATGTTTTCTATAATGTTTAATAAAATTTTCAGCAACTTTACATAACTAAATAAATAATTTGAAAATGAACAATACTATTTATAGATTAATAATTAACAAAGAAAGTAATCTATTTACATATCTATAATAATAGACTAATAGATAATTACAAATTTTGTATAGAGTAAATAACAATTTGAYCGTTTGATAATAAAAATAAAAAGATACCTACCAAATAGGGCGTTGGTTCACATATTATAGTTTTTACACTTGACACTTGAATTACGCTTATAGAAGTCGAATAGAATTGAATGCATATTACAATAATATTTATATTACAACAATAATATTCAGCTATAATATTATAAMTAGTTGATTCAAAATTATTATGGATCGATTAGGTTAGCCAATTTAAATCTTAAAAAAATCATTTATTTGAATTGCTCCCTATTTTAGGCAGAGACACTCTTGTATTGAGATCACCTATAACTCTAATAGATATAATTAATTGATTTATAGTTCAAATCATAATAATATACATAGATTTGATTTGAATTTTTAAAACTAAAACAATTATGAACGCATACAGCACAATACTAATTCAAAAGAATGTAAGTCCGGCATTATATTATAAGCAAAAATAATAAATTAAAAGTCAATGTCAGTTTAGATTAATAAATAACTATTAACATTTTAATAAATGAAATAGACCAATAAATATTTTTTCATTATTTCGAAAATTTAGGTTTGGTCTTGGAGGAAATTTGAGTAGACCATTTGGATGTACTGGATTTGTCTATGAAAACAGCTGGAAACAATTTGATTTTTAAAATAACAGTATTACTATTTCTTAAAATTTGAATAAAAACAAATACAGCACTTAAAAGAAACAGCAAATACATWTATGTATTAAAATAATGTAATCTATTATTATGCAATCAATGTAAACAAAAACTATACGCCATAAATATTTATTCATTTAAATGAAGAGCAACTGAATTAACCGATTACATAAGAGAAAATCAAATTTACCTTGAGGATGATACTCTAGATGCATGCATTATAACTTTGGTTAACTACTCGTCTCTTCATGTATGTTTACTTAGTTGGCTTCAGTTAATATGGATAATAGTATTTGATTAAACATACCTACATACTTGTATTTATTATTCATTGTGAAGATAATTATTTTTAAAAAAAGAATTTTTTTTTTGTTGTACTAAGCTAGTTGGCATAAAAAAATACRGCAGGTCAAATCGAATATTTTTTCGTGGTAATAATAAAAATAATAAAGAAAATAATAATCACTTTTAGATTTATTCACAAGATAATATTATAGTTTTTTTTTTGTATTCATCTCCGGGAAAAACAAATTTAAATTGAATAAAAGTTATTAAAATAATTACAAATATGTTTTTGTTTTATTTTAACAAACAATTACTTCATTCTTGAGTTTTTAATTTCTTTTAGTTTTTGTTATCGTTATACCTATTTAATAATATATATATATATATATAAAGAAAAATTAAACTAAGACATTTTTGAATTGTATTTCTTACGATTTAAATTTAAAATGTAATGTTTTATTTTTTCAAATGGTTTTAATAACAATAATATTAAACATAGTAATTTGAAGTATCAACACAAATACTCATAACTCTATATTATAAATGCTAACTGAGCAGGGATGAATTATTAACATCTCTAGGGAGTTGGGCCATGGGGAAATGTACCTAATTTTATTTTTAGCAAATGAAAATATATTAATGTTATATAAACGAATTATCCAGTGCGTATATTGGATTTAATTGTATACTAGTTGTAGTTATATTTTAGAGCAATAATTTCAGTCTAATAATTTAATAATTATAAATTAAAATAAAATACATGTTTTGCAGGTGTCTTAGTAAAAAAATAAATATGTCTTATCTCATAATAAAATAACATAATGTAATATAATATATATTATGTTATGTAATTATGATATTATAGTAAAGTAAAAAAAAAATAAAATAATTAATTAATTTAATAAATATAGAAATAATTCTATAAGATTGCCATTTGTTTATTTAATTTTTTTTTCGAGATTTTATAAATTTGATAAAACATTGAACTAAATTAAACTGTATTGAATGAAATAAATTAAATTTTTTCTAGGAAAAAATTGTAGGTCTACTGAAATAAAGCATACTATTGGATTAAAATCGTGTGAAATAACGATTGTATTATGTAACATCTTTAATAAACTGTACACAATTTTACTAATTTTTTCGTTGTAGCTGCATGGTTCTTTTTTTTACAGTTTTTTGAATAAAATATTATGGAGAACCTATTTTATTGGCTTTTATAATCTTAGGTATAAATCACAACAATTTTATGAATTTTCAACTTCATAATTCCATGCAAATTTTCAGGATTCTGACATATTTCATAAACATTTAAACTTTAAATTCTTATAAACCAAAATTGTAACCAACGATTTTTTTACTACGATAAGTAAAACTTAAAATACACTTTGTATTAAATTTTAAAGATTATTTGGAAGCCAAATTTTTTTTATAAATATTTCAGTAAAAAAAACCTTAGAAAAATCAAAAATTTCAACTGTCTATAAATAGCTTAAAAAAGTCAAAATATTTTTTATATTGAATAATTGAACTTTAATTTGATTAAAAGTAACTCGTTATTATCGCTATATTATTGGAAAAAAATTAATGAGCTAAAATAAACTTAACTTAAACTTTTTAACTCGTTTATGCCCAGGTTTGCAATTAGATTAAATAGTTATGTCCATAAGGAATTTTTACTATGAAGTTAAAAAATAATGTAAATTAAGTTACAAATTTCAATTTTTTTTTAAGATCTGCTTATTTTTTCTGTATCAGCATGATCAAAGCATTATTTCTACTCCAAAACGTGATGACAGATACACACAAAAAATATATAATAATAATAATTTAAAAAAAAACCATACATCATTTTAAAATCAATACATTCCTCACTTCTAGCAGAATCTAAAAATGATATGATCTGATATAATATTCCAACTTAATCCTAATTAATGTTTTTTAATAATATCAGTGCTATTTGAAGAGTTTCTTCTCTCCACTTCAAGTTTCTTGTCCAATAAATGCTTCACACAAAAATAACAAATTATCAAAATACATATACATCATTAATAATAAAACATATAAAATTCGTAATTATTTTTCAATCTCGTCTAATATCTAACATAAATTATTGATGAATAATCAAGAATTTTACAGTTCCTAGAAATCTTTCAAATAATTTCAAATGTAAATAAAATCAATCTTTGGCTGTCATCCATTCGAGGCTTCCCTCCTCAAAGTTTGTCTACTTTATTTATATAATATGTATTTTTTTTAGATTCTAAGCCTAGCAGCCTTTTTTTATTTTATTATTTAAAATTTTGTTTGTAGTTCAGAAAAGTTACCTAGCAGTTAAAGTGGTAAAGCACTTTTTTTGTTTTATTTAATTTATTACTTCTGTATCCAGTAGTCGAATTGGGAAAAATTAARTAGAGAAGCACAATGTATTGGTTTAAATACTACGTTCCAAGTTTAAAACTATTAAAAAAAAATTCGTAGACACTTTGACCTCGACACCACCACCACCAACTTTTTTAAGTTCTATATTTCTACAACTCTACTGCATTCTATGAATTATTCT